TTTTATTAAATTAAATTTAATTATATCCTGATTTAAATTTTGATTTTTTTAGTTTCATTTGAACTTCGACTTAACAATGTCGGTCATGATTTCTACTCAAACTTTTACTTCAATACTTATAATTAAGTTTTGATATGACTTTAGTTTAGACTTCGATTTTAACATAAATACATGCGGGAGAAGTTAACTCTGCTCTTTAGGTTTAAATAAGATTTTAACTTAGATTCCGATTTTGATTTTGACGTAAAGTATTCTTTCCTAGTTTAAGTCGTAATCTTTGATTTAACTTTTATTTTGACTCTGTTCGGACTTCGAATTCAGCTTTGGAATTTTCTCCGTATTTTTGTTTTCAAATTTGACTTGGCTTTGATTTTAACTCTGATTGGACTTCGAATTCTGCTTTGCCTTTCAAATTGAAGTTGATTCGGATTTTGACTTTTTAAGCAATAAATTTTGATGTTAATTTCGAGTTTACTTCGAATTTCATTCCGCGAATTTTGGGTCGACTTTTACTTTGACTATGGAATTATCTTTAAGTAAGATTTTGACTTTAATTTTTAATTTAAAGATCTTTTCTTTGAGGTCGTATTTTTATTTGTACTCTTACTAAGTACTGTTTGTACTTATACTAAAGCTTTTTGCCTTGACTTTAATTTCAACTTGGGACTTTCGACTTATATTTTGACTTTGATTTTGTATCTTACTTGGTCAGTTTCGTTTTAAACTTCACAAACTAAAATTTGAAATGAACTTTGAATCTGTTTTTTTTTTTTTTATCTGAACTCAATAAAGAACTGGAATTCTAGCTGTTGTCTTTATTTTAAATTTACTGTTTATCTAAACTTTTAGAACAACTAGGAGTTTAAGCTGTCATTGTATAGATCGTAAGTGCTTTCGAGTTGAAATCCTGAATATTTGCGCATTCACAATTTCATTTTACCAACTGTGTTTTAGTTTTATTACGCGCAGCCTTTTACGTGTCATTACCTCTTGTATGTAGAACTTTCTCAATATAACAGTTAGGTAGTAGAAAATTTCAACTATTGATATCAAACTTATACCAACAAATAAACTGAAGGCACTGCCCAAATTAGCTGAAATAGTGAAAGGTGACATAACTAGCAACAAAGATATTTAAAATGATAAACAAACTTAGGTGCTTACAAATCAGAGCCAGCATATTTGAGAGTTGATCTCGCCTTAAACGCCGATATATTTGACTGTTAAAGAAGATATGAACTACGGAATGATTGCTTTGAATACCTTTGCTGTAAACAGATAAAAGAAATGTGAAAAAATAAAATAACTTTTTATCCAATAGTTATAAATGTGAACAACTTACTAGAATTCATCCACCGTTGGGATATCTATCCATAGCTCCGAATTCGTCAGTTCCACATTAAAATCCATTAATTCGCAACTATTCGGGCAAAGCGAGCTCGAAGCATTAAATCTCCCTATTATAGATCCTACAAATTTAATTACAAATGCAATACTAATAAAAATCTAAACAAAGATTTTATTTGCTACATGGGAACTAACCAAAATTGCTCACCAAACACGGGATATCTTTGAAAGAACACACACGTTGCTCTGTACGATTTGAGTAAAAGAAAAACGTAAGACAACCACATGTTTCAATCATATTTTGCGCACGGAATTCCGCCTCACAATTGTTGCCGACATATCTTGCAAAATATTTGAGTGTAAACTCATGCGGTAGTACACATTGACGCTCTTCTATCGGAAGCTGTTTAACAGCCGATGAGCAATAAGTCTCTATCGGGCTAATACCCAGAAAATTTTCTTGTTTCGGTGATACGAATTTAATAATAGAACCAGCGCTGGGAAATACATCGTTTTCAGTGATTAGCACCTTGAAGCCAACTGAGTTTTCTTGTACATCATATCCAGTGCCATTTTGATGAAGTATTATGGAAAGACCATCGTAGAGACCTGAACGTGTGTGAGCGCCCGTATAGTTGAGGCTGTGAAGATTTTATGTGAGTATGAAAAAAATGTCAGCAAGATAATTTATGGGTTAAATAGAACTATTTATGTATAGAGAAAGAATTACAAAGCGGTACTAGTGCACTTACCCTTCTAGGTTGAGATTGAATGAGCAACAATAGCCAAAAACGGTGCGTGATCTTTGGAAGATCTGCATACAATCCACAGATTGCCGTTGAAAACGGCAGCGGAAAAATATATCCTCACATTTCCATTGCAAATTTCCAATGAAATCCTGAATAGTTATGTTATTCAAGTCTATCAATGTTTGTAGCAATTCAATATACCCAGTATTAGGCTTATTGTCGTCATTTAGGAAGCCATACATAATGCTCAAGGAGTTAAAAATTTGAGTAATATTGGAACCGGAGGGGAGGTTTCTGTGGAAATCATATATAATTATTTGTGTGATATTAAAAGTTTAAGAAACAATTATTTTTAATTGGATCGCTGGAGCGGACCATCTTGCCCGCGGGCAAAGCTCTCATTTTCTTTAGGCGCGTGCAGAGTATAAGCTCTCTCTGCCCGTCGCTGAATTAGATACTTGTTTGACTCTTGAAAAATACTCTCTCCGTTTTGATAACCCAGCCGAACTTTTTCCGACGTCGTTGTAAAGTGTACGGAGTGCGGAAAAAATGTCACGGAATTAAGTTGAATACGTTTCCAAACATTGTATATAGAGGAATTATACAGAAACGAAGGAGTAAATGTTTCATTTGGATCTGTATCCATTTTCTATAAACGAAATATATGTGGGGTAATATACATCCAACCGAACTTTTTCCGATGTCGTCGTTAAGTGTATTAAGTGCCTATATGGGGGAAAATGACACGAAATTAAGTTGAATACTTTTCCACACACATTGTATATAGAGGAAGTATACTGAAACAAATGGGTGAATGTTTCATTCGGGTCTGTATCTGTTTTACATAAATGAAGTACATGGATTGTAAGTTAGCCGAATAGTATGACTCCGCATTCCATTGGTATACGCAAATTGCCTAGTGGACCTTTTCAATATACCCTATATACCGGTATAATATCATACACATTTCCCATACACTTTTAATTTGAAACCGTGTGCAAAGATATTTACTTATCTGTACACTTGGTGCTTTAAGTATGTATATTAGGCACTAAGTTCCCGCACGAATAGAGGTGTCAAACTATCGATAGTCACACCATCGATAGTTTTGATAGTTTTCAGAAAAACTATCAATATTCACGATAGTCTCGAAAAAAATAAAACTATCGATAAGACTATCGATAGCGCTATGGACAACGCTAATTAAGTTAGTTCTTTGTTTTTACAGGATCATAGCGAAATAAATATTATCTCATAAAAGTTATATTCATTCAAAATTAAGTAACTACTTAGCCAAAATACTTCTCTTTTTAGAAAGTTCAAAAACAAACACAAGTTATACAAACAAAACAGGATTTACGAATAACACATGTATGTATGTTGGCCTAAATGCGTGCATATTTGAATTTGACGTCGGCATCACACTAAAAAACAAAATTTTTAATTCAAATTAAAAAATTCAGGTATTAGCAACAATAGTTCGATAGTCCTACTAAACTATCGATATTTTTGATAGTATAAAAAAAAACTATCAATGAGNGGATAGTGCCATCGATAGTTTGACAACTCTACGCACGAGTACAACTGCCAATGGCATTAGTAACGAAAAGTGTATGAGAGTTGTATATGGAAGACTAGAGTACTCGGTCATGCTTTGAGTATAGTAGGTATGTGATTTCGTGTTGTATACAGGTTCCGCTGGGAATTATTCCTCACACACTCAAATGAGCAATATTCATGAGTGAAATAGCGATGCCGTGGCTAAAGGAGAGTTGAAATACACATTTACATATGAATGTCTTTTATTTACATCAGTGACGATCAGAGAGGTCTTTCACTTCATCTGTGTACTTATAAATGTCACGAGCAAACATTTTCGTCTGAAAAATTCGATTTTTAGGCACCCGCCATGTGCAAAAGCTCTCTCTGATCCTCGCTGTCGCATACAATTTATAATTTCACGAAATTATGAGAATAATTAGTCCATACTTACAACGCCTCTAGATATCGTTTTGTCTGTGCAACATTATATAATACTTCAGGACAGATGGTTACCGCTGGAAAGGTTAGACTCTCAACTGGAGCGGTATCTTTTTCAATACTCATGCGTGTCGGATTGCTGCGATAGTCGAGATAAAATGTGATTACCATTGTAATGGCGCAGGCGAGCATAGCTAGAGTAATGAGCAGCCAAACGAAACTAAAATATGGAGAGAATAAGCTTTAGGTGTTTCTTTTTGGTAAACATAATTCAAAATTCAAAAAAAAAACTAAATTGCAGAAATATTTGTTAGTTGTGCCCTCTACTTTTCAAAAAACGTCGCCCCATCCTATATTCCGCAGAAAGTTTGAAAGTTCTTTTTAAAGTCTGGAGTGTATGTACTCAGCTTTTGCCTACATTGAGCCTTGACTATATTCTCTCGTTTTTTTTTGGAAACGTTCTTACACTTAATAGATAGGTGCAATGGTGTCCCTTTGGCTGAGTCGTAGACCGGCGTTATCGGCCCATTTTGGGGATTAAAAAAAATTGGAGAGAAAATTTGTTCCTCGGGTATGTGGGTACATTCAGGGATTTTATTGCTGCGGACGTGAACTTTTTACAGATTTATTTTTCCTTGAAACTATTAAGAATGAAATATAAAATTAAAAANGAGAGTAATGAGCAGCCAAACGAAACTAAAATATGGAGAGAATAAGCTTTAGGTGTTTCTTTTTGGTAAACATAATTCAAAATTCCAAAAAAAAACTAAATTGCAGAAATATTTGTTAGTTGTGCCCTCTACTTTTCAAAAAACGTCGCCCCATCCTATATTCCGCAGAAAGTTTGAAAGTTCTTTTTAAAGTCTGGAGTGTATGTACTCAGCTTTTGCCTACATTGAGCCTTGACTATATTCTCTCGTTTTTTTTTTTGGAAACGTTCTTACACTTAATAGATAGGTGCAATGGTGTCCCTTTGGCTGAGTCGTAGACCGGCGTTATCGGCCCATTTTGGGGATTAAAAAAAATTGGAGAGAAAATTTGTTCCTCGGGTATGTGGGTACATTCAGGGATTTTATTGCTGCGGACGTGAACTTTTTACAGATTTATTTTTCCTTGAAACTATTAAGAATGAAATATAAAATTAAAAAAATTATAAATTTTTTCATGGGGTTTTATGCAAAATACCCGACAACACCAGCGGTGCCCTGTGGCGATAATTCTTAATTTATTTTTAGGGAGGTTACTTAAAAAGCNCTAATCAAAATGGGGTTTTATGCAAAATACCCGACAACACCAGCGGTGCCCTGTGGCGATGCCGGTGATAATTCTTAATTTATTTTTAGGGAGGTTACTTAAAAAGCCCTATGGCTNTCATGGGGTTTTATGCAAAATACCCGACAACACCAGCGGTGCCCTGTGGCGATAATTCTTAATTTATTTTTAGGGAGGTTACTTAAAAAGCCCTATGGCTGAGTAGTTAGAGGTGCATACCACTCAGGGTTCGATCTTTGATCCGATCAACATCTCGGCGTATTTCTGACTTGAAAACGCTGCTCAGAAAACCATTTGCCGCTCGGAAGCGGCGTAAAATTGTATGTTTTAACATCGGTACGCAAACCGTAAATTTAGGGAGAAGCTCGGTCAAACACTTAGCGCCGTTACACCATCTCCGGTTAACACTAATCCAAAGTTAAACATTGTTCCCGACGTTACCTACTCAATTTTAAATGAATGGAGTCAGTGCCGTCGGTATCGATGTTTAACTGGGGATTAGTGTTAACCATAGATGAGGAAAATGGCCCTTAGCAAAAGAGTAAACTCCAAAATATTACTACTATTATTATTATTAAAAGCCTGTATCTCTTTAGGTTGTGCTGGAGTTCTTCCCTGATTATGTTTGGGATTACTGTGAGAAATGCCTCAGGCCTTGGCGAAGTTGAGACCGCTGTATTCCTGACGAGGGCGTCTGCTACCTCATTCCTCTTTAATCCAGTGATACTTTAGTATTATTTTTTTAAATATGTATTTGTTTTTGTTATTTTTTGGCCCTATGCACCGTGCTAAGTACGCCTTGTAAATTATCGTTTGCTTTTTTCCACTATTTTCATTTTTGTTATGCCAACACAAAAAATTTTAATTTAAAAAACGGCCTCGAGCTCAATATAAATTGTTGAATTTTTTAAAATAGATAATTATCCAATCACTTACCGCACCAATTTGCCTGTATCCCTATCTTGCGTATATTTTAATCCATGTATGCTGCTGCAAGTACAAAATTCCTTCCAAGTACGCTTGACCGCAGCATAAAATGGCGATACGGACTGGTCGATGTCATTGAGTCTTAGCTTTGCAGCGCCCATAGTGCTGTGTTATACAAGTAATATTGATTTTTACTTAAAATTTATTTAGTTTATTTAATTCAAACACTCAAAAAGTGACTACAAAGTGTATTCATTAAGGTGGTCAAAATATGCACAGTAGTTGTAAAAGTTGGTTATGATTTTTTCATATCGATTTGAAGTTGTAGATATAAGGTCCAAAAATGATTTTAAATTGATAGAAATTTTTACTTAAGAGAAAAAAATTACGAGCACACTATGCGTATGGCATTATGAGGTCTTGGATCTCCACCTTCAAACGGACGAAGAAAATGTACCTTTATCAAATCAAAATATAATATACATAACTTCATCTGTTTACTACTTTTCCTTAAATTATTTATTTTTGAATTTTCACCTGAAAGTTTTCTCTCTGTTTTCTGTGTCCGCTTCAGTCAGATTTTTAACACGAAATGCGTTTCTCGCTTAACATAAGTCTATTTCTCGCTATGTTTTATGCCAAACGAATATAACACTCAATTAAAATCGCATCAATTTCTTGTAAAAACACATGCAGTCCATTGCAGCAAAAAAGTGGGCGGTCAACAACGTTTCCATAACAGCATATCCCATTTCATAGCACGCGTTTAGGCGTACAGTTAACATCGAAATTATTCTTAACACAAACAGAAAGGTCTTGCGATATATCCAAACACATACTCAAACATTACCCAGCCAAAAATTGTGCGGCTATTCTCTAAAGAGAGGATTCGCGGATTAGTCCTCGAGGTACTACAATTCGACATTAATTAGTCTCAAATCATACAAGTATCCCCTTACGGGATAATGGCATAAAAGTGTTCTAGATATTTCCGCCGTCGCGACGGTGCTGAGTGTACAACATAAGTGTAGGGATCCAAAGACCTTCCAATAATTTTCCAAGCACTTGGAATAAAAGGATATACAATTCAGGAATGCTCGTTACTTGTCTCCCACAATTTTTCCGCATTCAAATAAGTATATTTTTAAGTTATTTACACATTAAAATAATTCTATAAAAAACTTGCGATTTTGGACGGGGTATAGGAAAGATATAGCTTAAATTTTGGCTTAAGAAAGCTATAGAGGTTAACATTTCAATTACGTTTATCGATCTTCATCCATTCTTCAAAAAATTCTTAACTTGTAATTTGATGAATACGCTCTGGAAAAAAAGTTTTATTCCTCTCCGTTGTATAAAGTGCATTTTTTAAAGACATTAGTAATGTTGCCAGGATATATTCAAAACCTACCCTTCATCGGGCTGTTACTTTCGGTCCTTAAAAAGTGTAAAGTAGTATTAAAAAAAAAATACAATTGTCTTCATATTTTCGAACCCTATTTCCAAAATACGAACTACGAATAAGATCCATTATTACATATTTACAGAAAATTACACGCTTCTATAAGAGGTTTAATAAAAGTATGAAAAATCAACTAAAATATTTTTGAACTTCAGTAAGATTATAAATTAATTTTTGAACACTGCCAAAACCCACAGTAGAAAGTAGGTAATTAAAAACTTTTCAGTAGGGCTTTGCGCATAACATTATGTTAATAAGTCCCGATTTTTTAGTAATCCGCGAATGAATTTTGTCCACATGCATATGTATTTATACACTGTGAGATGGCTGTATTGCGGATTAAGCAAGCTGCGAGGTCGTGGGTTCGAATACAGCGGCAAGCAAATTTCCTGTCATTTATTCCTTTTCGTTTATTTAGTTCCTTTAATTATCCTTAATTTTTAATTTTTAATTTTTAATTTTTAGTCAGACTGAGCTTTGTTTGCTGACTTTTTCTTTCTTTCATACACAATAAACAACAGCCGATCGTTTTGATCAGTGTGGTCATCGAAAACGCCGCCTATCCCTAGAACTTACTTCGGATCAACTGCATTCGCATAACTCGCGAGTTCTGTAATTCCGAAATAACGAGTTGATCAGGATCAACGCTGCCATCTGTGTATGCTTGTAGCATACCAGAGATCCCCGCTTGGAATCTTAGGATCCATGCTCATTCTGAAGAACTTCTGTTCTGATGATTTCTTCGCAACAAAAAAGACGTATTTGCTTGTTTGTTTCGTATTATTTGTTCAGAAGAAAACGTCAGAACAGAAGCTCGTCAGAATACCCATGCATAGTAACCGTAGCCCTAGCTGGGGAAGAATTATTTTATTTTATTTTATTTTTTAAAGCGTCAAGGTGACACTGGAAACTTTTCTTAAAAATCATGCGAATATTGCCCCTTGTCTTTGGTTTTGACAATTTTTTCATAAAGTTTATACTTTCTTACGTATTTAAAAATGAATTTAATATTTACTTTTCTAAGGCACCTAAAAATGACACCTCTGGCAAGACTTTGGCTGATTTTAACCTTTTTATTAGGTCAAAATATTTCCGCAAGAAGGTTCAGAAGTTGTCTGAACTAATGCACCGTTTTTGTAGCATGAATTTCCAATTGTTGTTCGTGATAAATTTATTTTCGTGGCTCTCGGTACAAAATTAAAAGGCTAAACTTTGTTATAATAATTGTAATCTACTAATGTTTCTTTTTTGTGGCTATGTACGTATATTGATGTAAGTACTTATTTAATTGTAATTTTGTTTTTATAATAAATGCAAAATGTGCATGAAAAGGTTTTTTTTTAAGAGAAGAAAATATATTTGCCAGAAAATGATAACTTCCATTAGCGATTTATGAAAAATAGTGTGGGCATACTCATATCGTCGCCTGTACGTATGACGCTTACGACAATCTTTTACCCAGGCGACGATATTTAAATTAAATAAAGTGGACTGTAAAGTTAGGTGCAGCTATTTTGATACATTTTCCATTGAAAATTATGTCAAAAAGCTATAACCAACCTTAGAGATGATTTTATTTTGACCATGAATATGAACAATAAGGTTCGAAACAGTGTTGCCAGAACTTTTTGGGCCGACCGGCTAGATTGGCAAAANTTGTCAAAAATCGACGTCATGAATCGACGTAAGCGACGAGTTAGAAAGTGCCCTTTACAAAAATATATAACTTGTGCAGATTGCGCTCCATAGCATTTACATTTCTAGTCCGATTATCATTATCTTTGGCTCAAAGTTTACTGTAATGATATATCTTCTTTATCGAATTTTTAAACTAATGAAAAAATAATCAAATGAATCTGTGTATTTGATTGAAAATCTCACTTTTTTCGCCTGTACCACTAATAATTTTCATTGAAGTCGCCACAAGTTATATATTTTGATAAGAGGCACATCAATACCCTTCGAGCTGTAAGGCGCTTACGTTAATTTGGAGATTTTTTCATGAGATATTGAAGAAAAGCTAAGAAAAGTACCAAAAACACTTTTTTGAAAAAATCCATCCATTGTCCGATAATTTTAAAATAACGAATAAAGTGAGGGACAAATACAGGACACTTGGAAAAAATCAGTACATTTTCGGGGTTTTCAGGTTTGAA